CGTGTTTCCAGAGTTCAGCAACTCAATCAATCAAACAAAATCCTTACGGAAGACTAATACTTGAAAACTGATTTGATACTCACTAGCGACTGGCCCTATTCAAGTAGGAAGTAACCTGGGGTTCTAGGACTAGCCTGTGACCAGTAGGGTACAATAGGTCGAAGGTGGGGACAATTACTCATCGAGGAAGACATTCCAAAGTGGTCGCGCTATGTCGTGAATTAACAGAAGCTGGAATTCATGGGCTGGCCTCTAAATCGGGTCGGATCTCAGTGGCTTAATCGTCCAGAAGCTAGCTCAGCTTGTAACCAGAAGGTCCCGGGTTCGAACCCTGGCGATGGAGTGGATGGATAATGTTGGAGAGTCCCAGACTAAGCTGACGAAATATCTATCCAGTGCTAGTTTTCCAATGGTTCTCTAACCGATGTTAGCTTATGATGAAATCCTGTAACCAATTAAACAAAATCCCTACAAAACCAATATTTGAAAACTCAGTAATAATTATTTTATCAATTACGGGACTGTGACAACTGAGATAACCCCACCCTTTTACCCCAACCCTATTTGAGCTAAAGTAGGCAGATCGGAATCCGAACCTACAATCCTACAGCCAAAGACCACGGACTTAAGCCAATCGATAATGATCATGCTTTATCTTCACTCAAGCATTCCACTCTGATAATCGTCTTCAACATCACAAAGTTCAAATAACGTGTAAAAATCAACCAGAATAAGACAAATTCCAAAGTTGTTTTATAATTGTAGGATTTAAAAAAATAAATCTTAATTAAAGGGTGTAGAAATAATAAGATCAATAATCACTTAAAGCATTGCGCAACGAAATTTTAATTGGAAACGGATTTCTGACGCGTTCAACAGACAAGAATATACACTTAAGACTAATGAAGTGTCATTCAGCGTCTGTAACCAAGAAAATGCTGTACATGAAATTTGGATTTAAAGGTGACTTAGCTACTGGCATCCTTGAAAGAAGGATCTCACATTTCTTGGGAATGAAATTCCCTGCAGTATCATTGAGAAAAGCCTTTATTAGTCAACCATCACTGTTCAATAACCTGAAGGATAAGATCCCACAGCTGACCAACTCAATGTGTGTTTATCGACTCACCTGCTCGTGTGGAGCTGGGTATATCAGTCGTTCGATTCGAGTTTTGTCCAAGACTGCGTAAGAACACTATCCTGCATGGTTACGAAGAGATGGAAATGGAGTAATAAGAAGCACGATCATTAAACATCTGGTCGATAATGTTCCCCCAAACTCTACAGCCTCCACCTTCCAAGTCATCTACAAGGCGAAAAGTGATTTGTCCAAATCACTACGTACCTCACTCATCTGTATTGCTGAAGCTTTGGCTATCGAAACAGAAAAACTAGAACTTTGTATACAGAAAAAGTTCGTTCAACCCCTCCAACTTTCATGGTCTTAATCCCTCTACTATGCTAAAGTATGGTAATCCTTAATCGTATTGTGGCTCTACCAATTTCTTTTTCATTTTGTCTACTCAGTTTGTATACTCTTCCTTTATTACGTCAATTGTTACTACACTATTACTATTCTCACTCTGAACTATCCCCGGCATTATTTCACTCTGTCCACTTGTTGTGTTTAGCAACGTTAAATTCTGTTATCGAATTTCACACAATGTTACGCAACGATTTTATTTTCTTCGATTTGCTTACTAATCCTATAATTGTACACCCTTTTTCAAGTTCTATCCATCCTATGAATTATTCTATATGTGACATTAATTTTCTTTTCCACTTGACATCTAACTATGATTATAATCACAAACATTTTAGTTTTAATTGCATTTCATACAACTATTAGTATTATTATTTTATGCATTCACACCTATGAATCAATTCCTTCACCGGAAATAATTTCTTCTACGCTTAACACGTATTGGTTTCGCTCCAAAATTGGACGAAACAGATGGCTGTCCAGTACACCAGTGCTGGTTTTCCAATGATTCTCTAACCGATGTCAGGTCACTTCGAAATCCTCGAAACCAATCTTTTAAATTCACTCTTCGAGTCAGGGAATTGTAACTACTAAGCAATGCCAGTTGTTCTGTCATCGTCCATTGTATCCCGTTAGGCCAATTTATCCTCAGTCACTCCATAACAATAACCAATGTTACCTTTTGCTACAATACACAGGAAGTACTGGATAGCTGTTTCGTTAGCCTAGTTTTGGAATCATCGACAGTACGTATCCACTGGGTTTCGAACCCAAGACCTTCCGGTTACAAGGCGATGTCGCATACAATTCAGACACTGGGATCCAATTCAATATGACCGGAAAGTTCTGGGTTCGAACCCTGTCAGTAGGTGCGTACTGATGATAATTTCCAAACTGGGCTGATGAAACAGCTGTCAAATACTCTAGTGCTAGTTTTCCAAAGGCTCTTTAACTGATACCAATCCGTGATCAACTCTTAAAAAATGTGTATTGTAACAAAAAGTGTCATTGGTTATTGTTATCGTGTAACTGAGCATAAATAGGCCTAACGGGATACAATGCTCGATGACAGAACAACTGGCATTGCTTAGTAGCTACAATTCCCTGACTCGAAGAGTGAATTCAGAAGACTGGGTGCGAAGTTACAGAAGGATTGGAAAGCCAGCACTGGACAGCTGTTTCGTCCTAGTGATTACAATTATAGTTAAATGTCAAGTGGTAAAACAATTAATGTCATATATAGAATATTCAAATATTGGTTTTGTAGGGATTTAGTTTAACTGGATGGAGGATTTCATCATGAGCTGACATCAGTTACAGAACCACTGGGACACAAGCTGGGAGTACTGGACAGCCAGCTGTTTCGTCAGCCTAGTTTGCGATTCTTCAGCAGTACCGGGGTTCGAATCCAGGACCTTCTGGTTACATGGCGAGCGAGCTAGTAGACGACTCATTAGCCACTGGGACCCGCCAGTCTCATGGCCAGCCCATGAATTCCAACTTCTGACAATTCATGACGCGTAGCCCGACCATTTCGCAATGTCTTCTTCTATGAGTTACTGCCTCATCTTCAAGCTGCAGTGCCAGTTTTCCAGTGGTTCTCTATTTAACTGATATCAATCCGTGATCAACTCGTTAAGAACAAATCAAATCCTCACAAACCACAAACTATCCGTCTATCACTTAAATAATGACGTAAGACCTTCGGCACATGACTTCGCAGCTAATCAGATCCCAGTTGGGGTTAAGAAAATCTACCTCACCTATCTTATTGATTCACATATGTTAGTTATTTTCTTCATACTGTTGCACTGTGCAATTGATTCACACTTCTTCTCCACTAACACTTTTGTGTGTCAGTTTATCTCCTTTATCGTAACAACATACATACGCTTCTGCCGTATAAGCTATAAGCGGTGATTAGTAAGGACACTGTACGATAGAGCCAAGAAGTTATATTCGCAGAACAAGACAAAGAAGAATTAAGCTTTGTTGAAAAATGCCTTAAGGAAAACGGGTATCCAAAGGGATTTATCCTAAAGTACAGCAAAGAAAAAGATAAGAAAGGGAAGTACCCAACAGCTGAAAAGAAGAAAGTGTTCATTTGCCTCCTATACAAAGGAGAAACAGTAAAGCAAAAGTTGACAAGAGGATGAAAGGAGCAATAAAGAGATGCTTCCCTGTAGCTAAGCTGGTGACACTCTACAGCGCTACATGCTCTATAAGCCAATAGAAACTGTATAAGTACCCTGCTGATGTTACCTCCAACTGCATTTATACATGTATGTGCACCTGCGGGAGCCAGTACATAGGAGGACAGAAAGAAGAGCTTCTATCATTCGATTTTCAGAGCACATTCCAAGAAACTTATGCTTAAAAGGAAGCAAATATTTACAAAGTGCAATTATCAGACACCCACCATGTGGATACGGGTCATTTTGTTGAGATTACGAAATCCTTCACAAAATTAAACATACAAAGGACAGCGAATCTACTACGATTTACTGCTGAAGCAGTTGAAATCAAGCGTTTCAGTCCAAACACAGAAAGGAGTGTAGTCAATCTCTCACTCCCTTGGTAATTGTATTACTTTCATTACACTGATAGTCGTACACACTAGTGAGCTCCGCTCATTCAGCAAGTTTTCAGTTTGGTGAACTTCAACCTTCTTGAGTTGCCATGTTGACACATAAGCTAAAACTATTTATTAGATTGTTCTGTTTTCTGTCGTCTCTCAACCCCACCCCTTTTTTCGTAGTTTGATAGCACATAAATGATGGCAACTTAAACTAAAAATTTCGGATGCGTTCATCTTATAATACTTTCTCTATTACCTTTCAAACATTGAAGTATGAAATGTCATTGTTAATAACCATTGTATTTTCAGGTAGTTTGCAGCAGATGACGGGAACCTGTGAAATAGAATGATGTCATCATTTAAAATACTGCAATTCTGGTCTTTCTTTCTCTATCGAAATTTATCAAAGGAGCCGAATGTGTGACAAACACGTATCCTTCGTCGGCGTGTGGGTCAGGGAATTTCAGCTACTATGGAACGCCAGTCGTTCCGTCATTGTCTGTTGTATCACGTTACGCATAATTATACTCAGTCACTCCATAAAAATAAATAATATCACTTTCTCTTACAATACACATTTTTCCGAGTCGATCACGGATTGATATCAGTTAGAGAATCATTGAAAACCAGCCACAGGGAGTACTGGACAGCTGTTTCATCCTACTAGTTTGGGAATCATCGGCTGTACACAACCACCACGGGGGGGGGAACCCAGGAAATTCCGGTCACATTGAATCGGTCCTAGTGGCTGAATGGTATACAAGCCTGCCTTGTAACCGGAAAGTCCTGGGTTCGAACCCTGGCAGTGAGTGAGTACTGTTGATGATTCCGAATTTAGGATGAAACAGCTGTCCAGTAATCTAGTGCTGGTTTTTCAATGGTTCTCTCTAACTGATATCAATCCGTGATCAACTAGTAAAAAGAACAAATCAAATCTTCACAAACCAACTATTGAACACAATACACATTATTAGTATTATTAATTTAAATAATTACCATCTCTCTTACTATCTTTGTCTGTCTGTTTTAATGATAACAAAATACATTCCACACACACACACACAAATTTATCTTTAATTTCTTATAACAAAACGAAGAAATAATGATGATAGTAGTAATAAAACGTAATATAACAAAATAAAATTCCATTAAAAATCAATAACTTTTTTATAAAAAAAATACAATTGGAGAAATAAGACGACACACATATACACACACACACATTATTCCCTTTCACCATTTACATGACTTAAAATGATTGAGTACCATTCATTGTTGCAAAATGAACAACCCGAGAGAAGTAGTCAATTGTAAGAATACACTTCACAAATTCATTAGGCAGTTTAGAAGTACCTGAAGACGAAGTGGAAGAAGAATATGGGGAAGTAAGAGAAGGGAAGTTTTTGTGCATATACACACAAATTATAATGATATGCTTAGTTGGTACTTGTTGTACACAGATATAATAATAATAATGAATGGACTGGGAGAGAAGTCAAGATAAAGAAAGAGATGGCGAGAACAAAGGAACAGATGGGAAATAAAATCTATTCATATGTCAAACGAATAATTAAACTTAGAAAAACACTTTTCTTTTTTGGTTTCTTCTATTGCTTTCCGTTGCTTTCTACGGCTTTATGAGTAGCTGAAATTTAGAAAAAAAGAATAGATAAATAAAAATAAAATCAATATATATATATATATATATAGTATGATAAATAATGCATGCTGTTAATCTCACTTTGGTTACAGGATTTCACTGTGAGATGGCATCAGTTAGAGAAGCATTGGAAAATCAGCCCTGGAGTACTGAACTGCTATCTGTTTCGTCAGCCTAGCTTGAGACTCTTCAACTGTACACACCGACTACACTGCCAGGGTTCGAACTCAGGAACTTCAGATTACAAGCTGAGCCAGCTTGTAGACCATTAAGCAACTGGGACCCACTAGTCCGATGACCAGCCAGTGAATTCCAACTTCTGTCAATTCATGACCACAATCTCACAATCTCTTCAGGTAGTATTTGTCAATCACGCTCTCAACCTGTTGTGTCCTACTGGTCACAACTTCCTACTAGAATCTCAGGTAACTACCTACCTGAATAGGGGGGTCATTCGCTAGTGACCGTCTCATTGATATCCAAGTATTGGTTTGTCGCACCATATCGTGAATTGGTAGAAATTGGAATTCATGGACTAGCCATTGGACTGGTAGGTACCAGTGGATTAATGGTCTTCTTTCTAGCTGCCTCGCCTTGTAATCAGAAGTTCTTACGTTCGAATCCTGGCAGTGGGTTGGATGAGTACTGTTGAAAAGTCTCAAAATCAATACTCTCAGCTTGTTTTCCCGAATGGTTCTCTAACCGATATATCAGCTCATAATGAAATCTTCCAACCAATTAAACAAAATCCCTACACAACCAATGCCTAAATCTCACTTTGTTAGATAGTTGGAGGCAATCAACAGGAAGCTCTATCTAGACTTAGATTTCGTGCTTGTTGGCAATCTTGAAAGAACTTTTTTCCCTACCTAGTGTTCAATCAAAGTATCTATTATTAATCATAAAGGAGGACAGTAGCGAAATCGAATAGCTCAATAGTAACATCTTTGACTGGAGCACTGAGTAACCCGGATGGATTCGAATCCCAAGAAAGAATGTGAATTCCATTGACATTGCAAATACATGCCTTGCGGACTGATGAGTGATAGATAACAAGCGCGAAATCTAAGTCTAAGGCTTCCTGCTGATTGATTACCTTCAAACGCCTACCATTAATTCATGGTCATCTAGAATGGTGATCACTTTTCAAACTGGAGAGATTGATAGAATATAGTCTGCATAAACACGAAGGACTAGACATATGACACTAGTTAGTTACTAACCAGCGTCCAAACAACTTAGATGGCACATTTTTATGATGGCGACTACTAGAAGGGGGTCTAGGATGTATCTGCATAAAACCCACCCACCCCCTAGTGACTGTTCTCACTGACACTGGTTTCAAAGACGCCATTGGAGTTAGTTGGTTACGCCATCAGCATACAAGTCCTAAAACAGGACAAACACAAGTCCTGGATTCCACCGTTAGCCATCCACCAAACAAATTAATATGAGATCGACATCAAGGTGTTGTCGAAGCATCGACACTAGGAACTAACTGACACGTCAAGTGACTAAATAACTAACGAACAAAAATCCCCAATTTTACATTTGGAAAAAAGAAAAAAGGGGGACTGAGCAAAGAATATCCTCTTCGATAATTTTCTCTTCTGGCTCTACAATTGTATACATATATATTTATATACATAGAATATTCTAGAATAGTAGTCAATAACAATGTTGGTGTTTTTTAAATAATATCGATTTGTAAAGTATGATCACGATGGAATTACAGTTCATTAAAGGTGCTTAAATTATAATAATAACAAAGATATAGTATCAAATAGAATATCAACTAAAATTAGGAAAATTCCACAACAAATTCAGGATCGTTCAAACCAAGATGGCCAAGATAAGGACATTGTCTGAACCAGCTTCTTTTGGATGCATAAATTAGGCTTCTTAATGTGAATCCCAACAGCAAGCCTCAGCAATATTTAGTAGTCGAACTCTTAAGACGAAATTGAGATTTGTTGGTATGTGGTAAATGACTGTGAAAACCGCCTTGTTGACATCAGTCTTGTGTTATGTATCCACAAGATGAGATAGAATAGCGCTATATGAATAGATTTTGTTTGTCCTTTACTTAATCACTATGCAAGGAAATGTTCGGAAATCCGACGAGAAACACGCCTAATTGTACGGCGCAAGTAGCTAACTGGCTCACTCCACAGGAGCAGTTAAATTGAAATATAGACGAATTCACTAAGCCTGAACAATGTGCTCAAACCACTGTCCTAATGAAGAACGCAAGATTCTTTAATAATTACTAAGTAAAAATGATTATCCTTGAAAGTTATTGATAAAAAAGTATGAATTTAATGCCAAGACAAGTGAATACGTTACAAGCTCTGGGGAAGAACTTGTGCATAAAACTGAAGTTCTTTGTTGATGACAGTAGTGAAATAATAACACGACACCTAAGAACTGCAAGAAAAACAGTATTTGATACCACAGAAGTAAACTTTCTCTTCACAACCACTCCAGTTTATTGTTTGAGACATAAGCATAAGGTATTTAAATTCGCCTCGTCTACGTGTACCGACAAGTCTGACTAAGCATGTGGAGTCATTTACATTGACCGTCTATAATTAGATATGTTCACCGTTGAATTTTTGCATATCATTTTCCATGCTTAAGTGTACGGAACAAGCAAGGTGTTGACTGTGTGGTGGTGTGATACAGACAGACAGTGTGTGCCAACGAAATGTTATTCTCACGTGTTCTCACAGTTCAATTCGGCATTAACAACAGAATACGAGATAAATTTGTTTGAACATTCTATTTGAAGTTAGAGTGGGAATCTTATTCCCACAGCTCAATACTGTACACTTTGGCTTTCGTGTCTTGCCTTATGTTGTCACATTCGGTGTCGCTGCCTGTCTACAAAAATGGAAAGCCTATGTCCTGTGGTTTTTGAAGATGGAGACATATGGATCATCGGGTAGGACTTTAAGGCTATTGAGCATTTGACTGGCGTTCAAGATACATCAGCGATGAGGCTGTTCCTTTGAAGGCTGCTGGGAGGTTGGACGAAGGCAGCACATGATAGTTTGAGGTGAATCACGGGTGGACACGAGCCAGTATCATGCAAACTGCTCCCAAAGTGGGAAGGATCATACATGGTCACCGTGAGACGGGGTCACATATATGCAGATGCAAACAAAGGCTCCTGATCTCGAAAAAGTAAGACGAGCTAAAAAAAAGCTGCCAGCACCAAGAAGACCGAACCGACTTCAGTCGAAAGTTTTCGACACGGGGATGAGTGTGGTGGTGTGATACAGGCAATGGGTGCCAATGGAATTTTATTCTCACATGTTCCCACAGTTTAATTCGGCATTAACAACAAAATACGATGTTAGAGTGGGAATCTTATTCCCACAGTTCAATACTGCATACTTTAGCTTCCATGTCTTGCCGTCTGTTGTTACAACTGTAGCTCTGTCCTTATACACACTGAACATAAAGTTGCCGTTAACAAGGCATTTAAACTTATTGATCGTATTCCAACGAATCAATTAATTTTGCATTATCTGCTGCATATTTAGCGTTAAAGTAATCGGAATCCACTTAGAGAAGTCAGACCAGTGTGTTCATAAGAAATTCCTGCAGTCACTTCTCTACTCTGGCCATCATAGATGACATTGAATGCAATTAATCTAACAATTTCTTCATTCACTCTAAGGCTTCTACAAGCTATCATTGTTTAAATTATGTTAATCGCATTAGTTTTCTTCGCAGTTTTAATTGGTTGATGATGACCATTAAAAATTTCGAAAGAGTGATTAATGAACAAAGAATATTCTAGATATGATAGAGAAGATTTGTAGCTCAGGTGGATGATTTTGATGTGGTTTTGTTCTCTGAGCTGGATGGTTAATTTGCGAAGCTTTCATCACCCTACTGAGTGACATCTTCAGCGCATACTTCAATCTGTTGAAGTGAGCTTTTAGATTTCTCCACGAGTTTATTAATCATCTCTCCTGGTGACCTTGGACATGATTGGTTGTTTATGTGTGTTTTCACATCTTCACATCATCAATCAATAGACATATCGAGATAGACAAAATTTATCAACCGATAAGAAATAAACTTCACACACAAAGGGTCAAAGTCCAAGCCAAAGAAACAGTCAGTTCCAATACAAGTAACCTGGAAGATGTGAAAAAACACATAAACAACCAATCACGTCCAAGGTCACCAGGAGAGATGATTAATAAACTCGTGGAGAAATCTAAAAGCTCACTTCAACAGATTGAAGTATGCGCTGAAGATGTCACTCAGTAGGGTGATGAAAGCTTCGCAAATTAACCATCCAGCTCAGAGAACAAAACCACATCAAAATCATCCACCTGAGCTACAAATCTTCTCTATCACATCTAAGGGTGATGAAAGCTTCGCAAATCAACCATCCAGCTCAGAGAACAAAACCACATCAAAAAGAATATTCTATTCAACCAATTCGTCATAATTAATAAAATATTGTTATTAACAGCATTAATATCGTTTCAAACTAAATTAAATCAATAATATCGACAGATTATGTTTGAAAGGCATCAGTAAGAGAGAGAAAGATAATATGTACTCATATAACACTTATAACCAACCAACCAACCAACCGACAACAACCAGTGCCAATCACTGTCAACGGGAGAAATTCGACAGAGGTTACTTCCTGGCTTCCCTTATCTAGAAAGCATTGTTTCAACCACAAGCGAGTGGGACAGATGAAAATATCAAAGCCAGTCAGAACAGGAAAGGCGAGATACGTCTTCATCAATCAGAAATCAAATCAAAAACTTCTACAGCCGTAAAAGAGCTCTCATCATCTCGCTAGCCCCCCGTACCAGAAGAATTTGTAGCAATAACTGTTTAGAAGAAGAGCCCCTCTTTCTCAAAAGCATCCTGGTTCAAAATGGATACCCATCGCGTTTCCTGGAGAAGAACATGAAACCAAGGCCAAAAAGAGAAGAATACACTTCAGT